GACTAGAGTCAGCGTCAGTCGGGTCTGAGGACTTGAAGTTTGAGTTTGCGTGGATTTAGAAAGAAGTGATCCCACCAGACCGATGTAGCCCGATCCTCAGCTCTGCTTGAGACTAGATGAGGCTTCTTCTTAGCCGCAATTAGCGTAACAAACCCGAATCTCTGGACCAACTATTTTAGTGTTGGTGCCGAGTTGCACTGTGGGTAATGTAGGCGCCAGTTTGTGACAAGGACGAAATGTGTGGAATAGTGTTATACAGTGCCTCCAGGATTTCACAGGCTTTTTGGGGGCATTTTTGTAATGTAATGCCTGCATTAATGGCAGCTTTTCTAAAAATTTAATGTTTTTAACCATTGTTTGGTCTAAAGCAACTTGTAAGAAGAGTAAGAACAAAATCTCACTGTTTGAACTTAACTAGAAAGAAGGAAGTGAGTTTGGTGACATATGACTCAACGCGTTGTGCATTAGTCATCTCTAAATGTAAAGTCTTTCCCAGGGGTTTCAAAACATCTCAAATCCAATCAAAAACCACGTGGATGGGATGTCAAATTTTTATCTGCAAGAATCTTTGTTGTTAAATCTGGCTTTATACAGAAAATGTCCATACTGAACACAACGGAGAAACTATGAAACATTAGTCATCATGTGTAGTAGTAATCTCTTTGTATTGGCTTATAGCATAAATTATAATGTTCCTCAGAATCATTAAAAGGCCCACTATGATTCACAAACTGGCTCAAACTGGTCTTTTGATACATAGACAAATATTAAGTGACAATCCTGAATAAGGATTTAAAGCTACAATAACAAAAGAGAAACACTGAATACAAGTCCACACATGCACAAGTCTTAAACTGTAAACATAGAGGATTTTATTCAACAATACAATATTCTCTATAAAAACCATTTGAACAAGTGAATAAAAAAATACAATTCTCTCTATATACTTCATATGTTCATAATATATACAATCTGTAAAATATGTTTGTTGCACTTTTGTGAAAAATATCACACAGATAGAAAAGCAGAAGCGATTTTGGACCTACAAAACTAGTGTAGCAACCTGAGGAATACAACTGCTACAAAATTTGGCACAATGGGTTAAAAAAAATGCCACCAGGAACAGGCTGGAAACAATAGACTGGCCCTCAAAAGAAAGGAAAACCTAACATTGTTGGATCCTTACCTGAGTTTGAATATCAATTTATTAGCAGCTAAGCTTGGCTCGGCCTTAAGCAAAAAATAAATGGACAGTTGTATGTTTCTGAGGCAGCTGCTAAGACAAAGGACGCAGATTGCTGCAGAGCTCACAGTGGATGGTGTTCAAACCATTTAACGGCCTTTTGATCATCTGAGGAGTTGGCTCACCTCCTGGTAACACTTCAACCAAGAGAAAAACATTGTTCTTCCTTTTAAGTATTTTGGTTTTGTGATAACTTCACAGAGTACAATTTCTGATTCGACTGCACTCATTAAGTGTAGAATAAGTATCAAATAAAATGCTTAAATTTGTGTCTCAAAAAAGGATGCCATATTGCTTAAAATCCTGGAGAACAACCTCCGAGTAGACAACATGCAATCATGATTCAGTTCAAGTTTCATAAAATCCTTACATCATGTCTCAAACACCTCTTTCAACATGGAGCCTTCATAATACAGGGATTTTTTCATACTCTTTAAAAGGCATAAAGATAAATGTAAAACAAAATACACCACACTAAACATTTTTAAATATAAAATGTACACACATTTAGGCCAATGCAGTTTCCTTTCATGACCACGAGAAAAAACATTCTTATTAGGATCTGGATTAAGATCTTAACTAAAATTAACCTCAATTTAGTCAAGTTTAAGATTAAATTAAAATCCTAGCGTCTTTATGATGATGGAGAAAAAGTAAAGTACCAAAACTGACTGACAGAAGAAAGAAACGAGGAGGCTGAGTAGTATACCATACTGTATATACTGTAGTAATCGTATATGTATTGTATATGTGGTGTTATAGAAGCAGAGAAAAGAGTGTTGTCCTCCATCCGCAGCTTCACTCCAATAAACCAGGTTCTACTCACTTCAAAGAGACCAACACGAGACCTGGCTTTGGCTCAGTGAACCTGAGAGATACAGAGATAGGAGAAAAGGTGGGTGAGCATTAACATGTCGTGCATGTGTGCTTTGCCTTTGTTAGAATGTGTATATATGTGCATACCTGTAGTGTTTGTTGGTGAGGTAGTCTATAACGGCGGGGCGGATGCGGGCCACGCCCCCCTGGCTGTGGTTCCCTCTTCCTGTGATGACAGAGAGCTGAGGTCGACACAGACCCTGCTCACAATCTACACAGAAAGAGGCCAAAGAAGAACAAAACACACACACACACACACACAGACACAGACACAGACACAGACAGAAAACAGTTAGGAGCTAGTTTGAGTCTAGACTTGAGGCACAACACTGTTTCGCAAACCCACCCAATACCCACAATGCTCGGAACCGACTCATTACCTGCAAGTATCTCTAAATCTTACCTATAATCAAACAGTTTAACCCTAATGTTCATTTTGGGGTCCTAGGAAACCCAGAGCCTCTTAAATATTTGTAAAAACATACTTATCATTGTTTATTAGCTTGATCCTTCTTGACTTTTACAAATTGTTATGAGAACTGATAGCATGCTTCCCGATCTATTCCCAATAAATACTTTACACTATCTATCTAACTTTTTGTGTAAAATGTCCCCAAATTTATTTTGCCCCTTATTATTTTTATATATTTGTTCGGGACTGTGAGACACAAAATAATAAGGAAACATGTTGTTTCTTTTTTGTTACTTGAGCTCAGA